ACTAAGCTCCCAAACACCATGTTCCTAGCCTGGGCTCCTCACACATGCAGTTTGCCTTGAAGCTCTGTTGCTCTCTACCCTTGCAGGGACTCTGGGCTCTGAGCCCACCAACTGGAGTTGGGAAGGAGAGAGAAGGCCCAGGACAGGATTCTGGCCTGGGATTAATTAGCAGGGTTCTTTTCTTTTTGAAAAAGCCTCTGTCCTAAACCCTGTGAAGCTGGCTTCATAAGCATCTCTTTTCCTAAGTCTGTCACTGGGGACTGATGGGGTGGGGGGACATTCCAAGCTTATCCTGCTGGAGGAGGGCTGGCCTGCTCTAGAGCATCAACTCGAGTTGCCCAAGGGCCTCTGGAGAGCTCTCACCTCTCTGCCAGTCCACCAGACCTACAGTGACTGTAGTACCTAGCTTCTTTACCTAAGTGACAGTACTGCTCCAATGATAGTCTCACTCTAGATCATGGGGCTGACTCTCTGAAGCCGGGAAGGCCTGGCTTTACCTCCAAGAGCTAACCTGGGGGAGAACTCAGAGGGCTGAGCCTAAGATGGCCATCTTATCACCTCCTGGTCTGCACAGTGACCCCAGCTACTGGGGAAGCCCTAGCTGGATCCTAAGTGCCCCTTCTTGCCTCTTTGCTTCTGACTTGAATATTTTCTCCCGTCTTGCAATCTCAGCTCCTTATATGCTGGAAAGGGAGTTGGGAGCCCAAGATGGCTCAAAACTAAAAGCTTCCACTTACAAGCATCAGGATACCCTGCAGCAAGTGAGGTCTCCCCTAGGAAGAAGAGTGGCCCGGGCACGGGGCACCTGCTCTGGGAGGAGGTAGCTTTGCCTTTTTGGGCTGCAAACCCCAAGACTTAAGCGCCTGGGGAAGCTGGCCTGGGGGCCAGGGGCAGTGTGGTTAACTGTCAATGTGTTAGCCTTACTCCAAGCTCAAGGCTCCAGTACTGCAAGTCCTGCTAGTAAAGTCCACACATGCAGTAAATAATCAGGGACCACAAACCTGCAGGTGCAGTGGGTTAACCCTCGAGCTCCTGGGAGCCTTGCTCATTCTCATGCTCACTCCTCTGCCCACCTGTGGATCACTCCCAGTTACAAGAAGCTCCAGGAGATAAAACCTGCAACTTACCTTGGCAAGGGGAACCTTGAGGTTCATCTTCACCTCTAAATGCGCTAGATCATGGGGCTGACTCTCTGAATCGGGTCCTTGCAAGAACGGTGATGCGGCAGATGATGTTGTGGGGTGCTCACGATGCCCATCCAGCATCATGGGGCTGTGCTGGGTCTCTGGCTATTCTAATTAGAACAAATAATACAGGAGGCGCTAGGTTAATCACACAACGGGCTTGCACACCAAGCTGCAGTGAGGGCTCTATTCAGTATGGTGAAGGAAGCCAGCCTCCCCGTGGAAGAAGGTGCACATGGCAGGACATTCTTAAGCAACTTGCACATTGATGGGGACGCTCAAATGTTCCACATAAGCCCTGCCACCTCTCAGGCAATGGACAAAGCTGTCCACCACAGAGGCCCTAGAGCCAGGAGGGAGCTTTGAGGACCTCTTGACCAACTTGGTGTGGTTGTGCCTGGGACTTGTCCATGTTGGACACTTCATATCAACTATGAGGTCATAAGTTCACCCCAATTGCAGCCCTTGAAGGGGATTTCAGTTCAGCTCATATCTGGTCTAAAAGGAGATGCCAGGTCAAGCAGTAAGGAGGAGTCCTGGGCTGAGCTGGCTTAAAATCCTAGAAGTCTTTTCCTTAATGAGAAGGCATACCTACCCCACCTGTGCTGCACGGGGTTTGGGTGAGTGGGATCTGCAGGTACGTGGGCCTCTTAAGATTTTATGCCATCTTTCTAAACCGAGCTGTCTCCTAAACAAGCTGTAGCCCTTGGCCTTACAAATGGTCAAGGAAGACAATTATCTTTGACCTTGCTCCTAACCTTGAGCAAGCTCCTGGTTGAAGTTCTTAGCAATCAGCTGGGATCATTGAAAGGACTAACCAGGGTTTCTCTGGCTACTGGAGAAGTGTGCCTAAAGCGTCAGGGCTTGGCGTTAACACCTCCAGGACTGGACAGTAGGCATGTGACATCCTGATCTTGACTTCCTTCCCCAACCCTGATGCCCTGTAAGTGAGCTTTCTTACCTATCAGGACAGTCCACTAAAACACTGAACAATCTTACGATGGGAGATGCCCTTCAATGCTACACTCCCAAAACGAGGTCACCTGCACCTTCCAAGTTACAGGAAGAATGTCTGCCATGCTGGATCTTGCTTCCTCTTGGGGGACCAGTGCCCTGGCCTCCTACTGCAAGTATCCTTACATCTCAACCTGTGAAAGTGAAACCTGACCAGCGTTTAGGGGTCAGGCATACGGGTTTGGAAAGGTGACCTTGAGGCACAGGAGGAAGTGGCTTAAAGGACAAAACAAGATGGATTAATCTGACCATGCTTCCCAATGGGGCCATCTGGGAGTCGGAAAGTACCCTAGAGGTGTGACAAGGACCATTTATCTGTTGGTCCCCATCTTCCACCGCCTAACTGCTTGGGGGGGGGGCTTACTCCTGCACCTGAGAGTCATGTAGCCTTCCAGATAGGAAATCAAGTGCCTGGGGAGACCCTGTCCCCTTGCCTCGGCCTGCCTGTCTTGGCCACAGCTGACAATGGCC